TAGATGTTTTTCTGGAACTCTCTGGGTTTCTCCGTAGTATAGCGCATGTTAGCAATTTGGTCTCTAGTTCCTCTGTCCCTTAAGAATCCAGCTTGTATTTGTGGGAGTTCTTGGGCCACATACTGCTGAAGTCTACCTTATAGGATTTTGAGCATAATCTTGCTAGCGTGTGAAAGGAGTGCTATTGTATGGTAGTTGGAGCATTCTTTGGCACTGTCCTTCTTTGGGATTGGGATGTAGAGTGATCTTTTCCAATCCTCTGGCCACTGCTGAATTTTCCAAACTTGAGGGCATATTGAGTGTAGCACCTTAACCACGTCACTTTTTAAAATTTTAAATAGTTCAACTGGAATGCCATCACCTCCACTGGCCTTGTTGTTAGCCATGCTAAGGCCCACTTGACTTCACTTTCCAGGATGTCTGGCTCAAGGTCAGCAACCACACTATTCTGTGCACATTTTGCACATACAAAAATAAGGCTACACTTTCTCCAAGTATAAAATGATAAAATCTCTCTATCCCAATGTGTTAAAATCAGGATTTGAAACAAAAATTCCATTATGTCTGGGATTTCATCCTAACAACAACAACAACAACAACAACAACCTGGCAGTGTATTTACTAGTGGTGGACAACATGTTTCTGTAGCCAAGGCCTCACAGCTTCTCCACATGGCTCAGAAGGTCCCTTGTGCCCTCTCCAGGACATGGGGACAATTCTGTCATGTTTTGAGGGAGCCCCCAAAACCCCTGGGATCCCCACTCCGAAAACATATTGTTCTAAAATAAAAGAGTATTTTATTTGGCTACTAGGTGGTGCAAGGCTTTTTCGGTTAATCCCACCCCCTTTTTTTGTTAGAAAATACCGTACAGGAGGTTACTTTTTTATTCAGGATGCTCCCAATACAATTAGAAGAAGAAGATTTTAAGTATTGGCAAGGAATAATTAATGGATTTTGTATTCAAGGTAAAAAATCTAGAATAAATAAAATATATTGGTATAAGGCTCAAAAATTGGTGATTTAGGTATTCCTAATATAAAAATTATTATATAGCAAATTGCTTAAGATGTATTGGAGATATTATATACAACAAAGGAAGGTTAATTTGGTGGGATATGGAATCCTCAGAAATAAATGGGAATGTTGAAAAATATTTGTTTAATTTAGTAAAAAGAAATACAATAAATCAGGTGAACAACCCTTTTAAAGAAACATGTTGAATATCTGGAACAAAAATAAAAAGAAGTTATGTCTCTTTACTTCACCCTTAAAATTAGTGACCGAAATAGAAAATTTCTCAGCAAACATAAAGGGTTTAGCTGATATGTTTAAGGACAAAAAAATTGCCAGACTGAAGGATTGGATGATTAAAATGAGATTGAAGGATCAGATTATAGTTAAACTTCAAATTAATAAATTATCATGGTATAATTATATCCAGTTAGATAGTTGGACAAATGAATGGTTGAAAACTAATGGCAAATGGAGAGAATGTACTAAATACGAACAATTTCTGTCATCACATGAAGACATGCAGAAAGATGATTTGACGAAGGGAGTGGTAACTAGAATGTATAACCTAATTTTGGAACAAGAGGAAAAAGAAACAGAAAAAGAATGTTTGAAATCAATTTGGGAAAATGATTTAAAGATAGAAATTAAAACAGAGGATTTGGAGGATGAGAGTTTTAAGATTAAGGTCGATAAGAATAAAGGAATTTAAAAAAATTAGTTTAAGCTGGTATATTACTCTGGTGAAACTGAATACAGTGGTGCCCCGCATAGCGACGATAACCCATTCCAAAAAAATCATCGCTATACGGATTCGTTGCTATGCGGATTCGTCGCTATGTGGTTTTAAAAAGCCCATAGGAATGCATTGAAACCCCTTCAGTGTGTTCCTATGGGCTTAAAACTTACCTTTTAAGCAAAAATCCTCCATATGGCAGCCATTTTAGCGGCCCAGTAAGCGAGGAATCCGTCCCTGTTTTACCCGGTGGCCATTTTGGAACTGCCGATCAGCTGGGAAAAAAATATCGCTATGCGAAAATCGGTAAGCAAAACAGCTTACTGATCATCGCAAAGCGATTTCCCCCCATAGAAAACATTGTTATGCGATCGCAAAAGTGATCGCAAAAACATCGTCACTATGCGGATTTGTCGTTAAATGGGGCGCCCGTTATGCAAGGCACCACTGTATAATAAATTCACACTATTCTAAGGCTTGTTGGAAATGTGATGAAGAAATTGCATATATTGTCATATGTGGTGGGAGTGTAAATGGATTCAGAAATTCTGGAAACTGATTTCTAAAGAAGTATATTTGGAAAATATATTGAATTCCATTCTAAAATTGCTTTGTTGTCAATTTTTTGATAAGCTAGAACTTGATTATTGTTCAAAGGAATTGATTTCCAATTTTATGACAAGTGCTAGCATATTAATAGCTAGATTCTGGAAAGATAAAATGATACTGAATTAGAAAATTGGTATAATGAAGTATGAGACATTGCATTGAATGATAAATTAACTACTGAACTTAAGATGAAAAGAGGGGAAATAAGTTCAAATATTTTTATGCTATTTAGGGTAGATTTGTTGAATTTGTATTAGTGAAAGGAAAGGGGAAAGTCTCTAAACAACAATCAATACAATTTTGGAAAGGAAGTTTGTATTAAAAGTATTGTTCCTAGGGGTCCCATGGGTATGGGGTGCACGGTGGTTAAGATTTTATAGTAATTATTTTGTATTTTTCTATTTGTTTTTGTTTTGAAAAGAAAAAAAAAGAAAAAACAGGAGGAGTGGGTGTTGTGGGAAAGGGTTGTGAGAGGAAGCGCTGCCCTCCAAGATCCAAGGATGCCTGTGGACTTGTGAAGATTACTCTCCTGTGCACTGCACCCTTAAAGCTGCTAGAGCAAAAAGACACAGGGTGTATCTAAGATTCTTGTTCCCAGCCAGTAGATGTCCAGTGGTCATGTAGCCTGGAGGATTCTGGGAGCTGTAGTCCAAGAAGTCATTTCTGCAAGTTCTGTGTAGCCTGTTTGGACTGGCCAAGCCTGCTTACGCATACCAGAAGGTTGCTCAGGTTCCGTTGCCTGCTTACCATGGCATTGTCTCTGACCTGCTACACCATGTTCTAGCTCTTATTAGAGCATCTGAATACAGGCATGTTGGGCAAAGAGTTATTGGGCTTAGGTCGTGGCATGGTTTCCCAGATCCTGAAACCTAGTTATTCTCTTCACACCGAGCTTGTAAAGGAGAACATACTTTGGTAGGTTTATTCCTAACTGCAGTACAGATGGATTTTCCTGAATAGCTTGTTGGTATCTCTGGTTTCTCTCTGGTGTTTCAGCTTTCCATTATTATCCATTTTTCTCTCCATAGGCATGGAAGACATCATACTCTTATGCCAAGCAGTGTCAACTACCGTGCCAATATGTGGGCACTGAAGGAAGAGGGCTGCACTCATTTGCTAGCAACTACTGCTTGTGGTTCCTTACGAGAAGAGATTCAGCCTGGAGACATTGTCATAATAGACCAGTTCATAGACAGGTAAGTGAGAATGAGGTCCTTTATGGAGCATAGATCTGACCTTTATTGGATGATATTTTGGACTGGAAAGAGAACTTATTTCCAGGGTATTCTTATTGGAATGCCATTCTTATTTAGCTCCAGAGGTTGGCATCAATAAAACTGTTTTATTGACAGCCATGGGTGGGTGCATTTCATTATTCAGGTGAGATTCATTCCATATTTCTGCAGAAGTTGGAGGAGGACAGGGCATCTCCCAGCACTGATATTGATAAGCAGCAAGATGTTTGTGGGTCAGGAGTCAGTGAGAAATTGGAGAACGTGAAGGGAATCTGTAAGATAATATAGAAGATTGCTGTTGATGAACCTGAAGAAGATACTTATGAATTATTATAGAAACATCTGTAATCAATAAACCTGTTTTATTCAAAAGACAGTGATGTCTTTCCTAAGTAAAGTATGTTGATAAAGAAATCAACTGGTGGCAGCTTGTGAAAAGGTGTTTTGTTTTGTTTTGCCTTCATGAGCTTTCTGTTTTGGGGAGATAACCAGGGCCACAAGGGGCAAATGTCACAGTAGGATATACAGTAAATTGAATCCAAAACTAAACATATTGTACCTAAAGAGAGAGAAACATGGATACTAGATAGGGTGGTCCTTGGGACATAATGGTCAGAGAGGCTCTCTGACCACCTGGCTTCTAGAAGAGGCTGGACAGAGAAGACAAATGAGTCAGGGACTGAGGCCAGGGCCTAGAAAGTGCAGGAAACACTGAGAAGATGCCTGCAGGCAAGAACCAAAAGCAAATCAAGGATTGAGACGACCAACCCCAGCACTGGGCTTTTAGATCATAAAGGCTTGTTTTATAAAACCTCCCATCCTGTCACTATTAATGCCATTGTCTCTACACTGTTCCAAATTAATTGTTGGAGCTTAAACAGTGTGTGCCTTCTGCTTCTTTTTCCCTTGCTTACTGCTGCTTCCTCCTAGCTGAACATTTCTGAGTCAATAAGAAAGGAAAAGCTGCTGTTGGCAGCAACATACAACTGTTCATCAAAATGAGTATGTGACCTCCGGTGTGACTCAGACACTCAACCTCCACTGTGCTGAATAAACTAACTGCATCTTCCGGGGGGGGGGCGGAATAAAAGGGGGGGAAGTCCTTTCCTTCCTGTGCACTACATGTATGTGCTTGGATTTTAAAAAAAAAAAACCACTATAGGTGGAGAGGCACTGAGGTAGATTTCCTTGGTTTTCTAAAGCAATACATATAGCATAGAAGGCTGAGCAATCTTTGGACCTCCAACAGTTTTGGATTCAAACTCCTCCAGTCTTTTAGCACTGGTTATGCTAGCTGGGGCTTTTAGGAGCTGATGTCCAAGGCACGTGGAGAGCCAAAGCTTCTCCACCTTTCAATTAAGTCTTTTAATTTTTCTTTTCTTGATTTTGGCCAATTTCTCCCTTATAAATGTCACATATGAAAAGCTGGGGACCAGGCTTTCACACCCAGTGGAAGTCAGAGCAAGTTTGTCCTCTTGCTTTAGAAAAGGGAAGTGCCAGTGGACCCTGCTGATCTCCTACTGACTTTGGCAACTCTCAAGGATGTTTTCTTTCTTTACATAGCTTGGAAAAAAATGTGGGGTGAGGGGGTGGGATGGTAACTCCCACAATCTCCCCCAACCACCATGAACAATGGGAAACTCTCAGAATGGTAATACCAAGAAATAACATTTCCAAGTTCTACTGCTTTCAAAAATTTTCATAAGATCCCAGACCACCTGAAACAGCTCTGCTGGACGACATTCTGAGGAAGCAATACGGCTGGAGAAATATTGCCATTTTGCCAGCCGTATTGCCACAAAATAGGCCCGATAATGGGCTCTAAGTTGTGTTTGATCGGACTCCCAGCGGGATATCCTCCACCTGCGTTCCAGCCATCTCCCTTCCTGCTTCATCGCCTGCAATTCAGAAGTATACCAAGGAGCTGTCTGAGCTCTGCGTACAGAGAGGGTGCTTAGGTGTAATCGTGTCAACCGCCCGGGTCATCTCCCTATTCCATAGGGTGACCTGAACTTCGACAGGCGCACCGACCATATCAGACGGATAATCCCCAGAGCATTCAGGAAACCATCCGGATCCATTAGTCTCCAAGGGCGGATCATCTTAATAGATCCCCCACCCTTGCAGAGGGGAGAAGAAGCTAATAGACTAAACTTGACCAGGAAGTGGTCTGACCATGACAATGGGGTCACAACCAGCCCCTCCACATCCAAACCACCATCTCCCAGTCCCATTGAGAAAACCAGGTCCAAGGTATGGCCCTTCTCATGTGTCGGGCTGAGGACACATTGAGACAGCCCCATGAAGTCCTGACCCACCCCAGTCAAGGCAGCCTTGGCATGAATGTTGAGGTCCCCCAGCACCAACAGCCTGGGAGCCCTCAACTCCAGGTCCAAGACTACCTCCGTCAGCTCAGGCAGGAAGACTGTTGGTACGCAGCAGGGTGGGAGGTACACCAACAGAATCCCTAATCTGTTTCACAAGCCCAACACACAATACAGGCCCTCAAGACCTCCTCTCAAAGGGATAGGAAGCCTGGTCAATGAGATAGAACTCCTATAGACTATAGCAACTCCCCCTCCCTGACCCTCTGAGTGACATTGGTGCTGGACTGAGAATCCAGGTGGAGATAGCTGGGAGAGGGGAACACCACCCTTCTCTCTCAACCAGGACACAGTAATGCACGCCAGGTCAGCACCCCCATCCAGAATTACATCATGGATGAGGGCAGTCTTATTTTGTACTGACCTGGCGTTCATCAACAGCACCGTGTGGCTCAAGGGTTTGCTGATATGGTCACCTGATACCATCTGGTTGGGAGTAGAACTATAAGAGGAGATAGATAAAAGATATCTAACCTCTTTTCTCCTACATGGGCATGTTCTACCCCATTCTAGGAGTTGCACTCTAAAAACACAAATCTAAGCACTTCTAGAATGGGGCCAGAGGTTCTCTAGCTGATCCCCAGGAGCAGCAAGAGGAAGCCAATGTCCCTCCCTCATTCCTTCCCTTTTCATCCATGCTTCTCTTCTTTCTGTCACCAGTTCCATGATTTTTGTTGCTGATGAAGAAACGCTGCTTACCCGAGACATGGACTGCTTTTCATCAGCAAGAACTGTAGTGACCAGGGAGGGTACCTCTGTGGGTGTGCAGAAAAGAAAGGGAGGGAGTTATTCTGATAACCCCCTATATTAGATTAGGCATCCTTCAATCTCGAGAGACTATAGTAACATGCTCTGAATAGAGGACTTGGATCAGCGTCTAGTGTGGCTGAGAAGGTCAATTTGAGAATGACAGTCCCTACCACACTGACGACAAATCCAATCTGTTCCCTGTCCAGCTCCCTGATTTTGCTGCTTTCGGGACTGCCTCTTTGCCTCGGCCTGCTGGACAAGGGTCTCTTCAAATTGGAAGAGGCCGTGATGCACCGCCTGCCTCCAGGCTGAACGCTCAGATGTCAAGGTTTCCTATCTGTTGAGGTCCATTCCCAAGGCCTTCAGATCCTGCGTGCAGATATCCTTGTATCACAGCTGTGGTCTCACTCTGTGGCACTTTCCCTGCACTAATGCTCCATACAGAAGATCTTTTGGAATCCAACCATCAGCCATTCTCACAACATGCCGGAGCTGACGTAGATGTTGGTATTTCAGTAATGTATACGTGCTAAAAATTCCAGCTTGTTCTAGGACTGCATGCTCAGATTTTGCTAACTCTTTGGAACAGGAAGCAGAAGGTCACTAGTCTGTGATTCAGAGCAGGGATGGATGTCTACTTTTGGAGGTGTTTAGATTTGTGATTTTGGACTGGAACTCTCCTTGAACATGAATCTGCACAGATTTACATTTCATACATCTTCAGCAGTAGTGCAGAAATACAGCAGTAGTGCAGAAATGCAACACCATGAGAAGAATCCAAAGGATTACTAATCCAGCATTCTGTTACCACAGTGGCCAACCAGCTGCCTCAGCAGGAAGTTCACAAGCTAGGCATGAATGCAGTTGAACTCTCACATTCCTGTTCCCCAGAAACTAGTACACAGAAGCATGCTGCCTTTGATATTGGAGGCAATATATATCCAGCAGAACTAGTAGCTGTTAATCCTAATCATTACTAGTATCCAGAATCAACTGCAGTGGTTGGCATTCACATAATGTGTCATTTCCATTAGGCCAGATTGATTTCAGTGAGGAGGCCATTCCCAACGTCCTTCCATCTAGAATTTAAGGCTCCATGTTCTAGCTTGCTGCCTTGCTTTCTTAGCCAGCAAGTGTTTTAGAAAAAAGCTGGGGGAGAACATGTGACCTTTTGCATGCTATCGGACTGCAGTTCCCTTTGGCGCCAGCCATCACACCCAATAGTGAAAGGACATGCAGCCTCATAACTGGGTGGTGGTGGTCAAATATTCTGCATTCCTGTTTAAGAAGCAAAATACTGAATACCTAAATGGTTCATTTGGAGACGTGCTTGTAACTATATTCTACCCTTTTTCTCCTCAGTGTGTTTGATATACACACTTGGAAACACATCCTCTGGATTTTGCTTAAGCAATAGTACAGTGGTGCCCCGCATAGCGACAATTATCCGTTCCAAAAAAATTGTCGCTATCCGGATTCGTCGCTATGCGGGGCAAAAAACCCCATAGGAACGCATTAAAATACGTTTAAAGCGGCCCTGTGGGCTGTAAACTCACCACTATGCGGAAATCATGCGGCCACCATTTTCGCTGCCCAGTAAGTGAGTAAAGGGCGCGAAAACGCTGCGGCCGGTCATTTTTTCCCCGGCAGCCATTTTGGAACCGCTGATCAGCTGTTCCCAAAACATCGCTATGCGTTTCACTTACCGATCATCGCAAAGCAATTTTTAGCCATTAAGAACAAAACCAATGCGGATTTGTTGTTAACTGAGGCGCTTGCTATGTGGGGCACCACTGTATTTTGGTGCATTTGTTGTATAGAAAACAAAGACAATGAGTGTTATTTGACTGAAGCTTGTGTGGACTATAAGCCAGCTTCAGATGCGTTGGAGCTACAGATAAGAAAAGCTTATGTCAAATACACTTCTTAGTTCTCAAGATATCATAAGACTCTCTTTGTTCTTTTCACTGAAACAAATATGGCTGCTCCCTAGTAAATTAGTTTTTAAAAGGAGTCACCACTCTTTACTTATTTTCCTGTCAGTGCTACATCCAGATTGGAAATCCCATTCCATTTAATTCTCAAATCTTGCCACCCTTTAGTTTCTTCGTCTGCTATGTGTCCACCATGTCTGTCTTTATGCTCTAAGACTTCTTTTCATGTTTTCCCACTGAGTATCAGATTTTCATCCAAGTGAATAGAATGGCAGCTTTATGTAGGCAGTGAGCATATTATACCCAAGTACAGTGGTGCCTCGCTTAACGATGTTAATTGGTTCCAAAAAAATCGCTGCTAAGCGATTTCATCGCTAAGTGAAATGCGGTTTCCCATTGAAATGCATTGAAAACCGGATAATCCATTCCAATAGGAACGAATTGCCGTCCTTAAGTGAAAATCGCCATAGGAAACATCGCTAAGCGAAACGCAGTTCCCCTATTGAAATGCATTGAAACCTATTCAATGCATCTCAATGGGGGAAAAATACAACAAATTAAAAAAAGAGTCAGAACAAAGTCAAATTTGGTTAACAAAGGGTTTATTAAGTGCACTTTATGATTTCAAACATTTTAAACAGTAAACTTTAACTTTGTAAATAACAGAAAAACATTTAAAAAAACAGCAAACATGAGGCTGTTTAAACCATCGTTAAGTGAAACAGGGGACCCAAAATTTAATCGCTATGCAAAGCATGGTCCCAACCATCGCTAAGTGAAAATCGCCCATAGGGACCATTGTTAAACGAAGCGTAAAAATGCTCCGAAAAAGTCGTCGCTAAGCGATTTCGTCGTTAAACGAAGCAATTGCTAAGCTACATACACCACTGTATGTATAAATATTTCTTCCTAGAGCTTTTCACAGTTCTGCTGGTGTGAGTGGCTGTGTATATTATCCACCTGTATTGATTCAATCATTTAGGGGAAAGTAGCACCCTTTCTGTTTTTTTACTTCAATTGATGGACCTTTCTTTCTTACTTACTTACTTACTTATTTACTGAGCTCCCTTGCTTTTCTATTAATTTGTCCAGGTCAGCAGCATTGGGGGTGGGGCTAGTAATGGCCTAAATCACTGCTTCCCAACCTTGAGTCCCCAAATGTTCTTGGACTACAATTCCCAGAAATCCTGGTCAGCATGGCTAGTGGTGAAGGCTTCTGGGAATTGCAATCCAAAAACATCTGGATTGCCCAAGGTTGGGAGCCACTGACTAAACTATAGCTTAGGTAACAGAAACCGTCCTTGACTTTGTGACAGTCCTAGCGATATTGTAGTGCTAGAGTAATATTTTTTGCCTTCCAATGCAGGGAAGAAGTGACAGGATAATATTAGCACAACTGCGGGGGACAGGCAACCTTGTGTCCTCTGGACGTTTAGACTGTATCTCTCACCAATCTAAGTTGCTGTCTAGGATGATGTAATTCATAACCCCTGGAGGCTACTGATTGTTTAACTCTTGTATGCATTGTAACTCTTTATCCATCCCTAGGTTGTTTCTTGAACCAATTTTTCTTTTTTCTTTTTTTCACAGAACAACCAAACGGCACCTCACTTTTTATGATGGGAATCATTCCTGCCTTCCAGGAGTGTGCCATGTTTCTATGGCAGAACCTTTCTGTGCCAAGACATGAGAAGTTAGTGGATTTTAAACTTAACAACTCTGCCTATTGGTAAAATCCCAACAGCTTGTCTATGGGTGCTTGCACATAATTCCAGTGGGGAGATGAGAGTATGGTCAATTTTCCTATGTAGCTGTGAGACCTGTAGTGTTGCTACAGAGGTTCTCCCAGTATTTATGACTGCCTCGGAAGAGGTGGAGTGCAGTTTCACAAAACTGTCCACATCCACAAATGTCAAATAGCTTTCACTGAAACAAACGGCCAAACACCGAATGTGATTTCTTCCCTGCTTAAAACTTTGTGTCAGTGGCTGTTCCTCCAGAAGAATTGGTTTTTCTTTCTTACCAACCAACAGCAATTTGTGTTAATCAATAACAGAAATATCTAGTCTTCATCAAATTGTTTTTCCCAGATCTGGTATCACAAATGGCTCTCCCAGCCCAAGTTCACAGTAAATCCTTGAATGATTAAGCTTCTGCTGTAAACTCTGGTGGAACAAGACATGTTTCAGTGGAAAGAGGACGGGATGAAATTAGAGATGGGCAAGAGCCTTGGTTCAGAGGTTTGTGTCAGTTCGTTGGAAGGGCACCACAGATGCTGTTTGTTCCCCTCCTCCCCTGGCCAGCTCCCCCACTCACCATCTGGTGTTCACTGCTCTCCTCCTCTTCGCATGTCTGACTAGTACCAGTAGGACTGTGTGCTTCCCTCCTCTGCCTCCTCCAGCAGCCACCCCACTCAAAGGCAGCACTGCAGGAATCCCTGCTCTGCCTTCTTATCTGATTGGCAGCTGGCAGAGGAGGGAAGCATGCACTCGTGCTGGGAGTGGTTGCACATGTGAAGAGGAGGAGGAGAGCAGCACGTGCTGGTTGGTGAGTCTTACATAGTTAACAATATAAAATGTTAATAAATATGCACGTAACAAGATACATAAACTCTAATACAGCTTAATGACATTGTATAAGATACACACCAAGCTTGTAGAACATTTGCTTCTCATTTGGTCTGTACCAGCTCCAACGTTAATCCAAAGTGCAAATACAAAAGAAATGGTATCTATTCTCAGCTGGCAGACGAGTCAGGAACAGTGAGATAATCAGCGAGGCAGTGGAGGCTGGCAATAGTAAGGGTAAGAATTCTGTTTCTTCATTTAGCCCAAAAGGGACTAGAGTGTTCAACCTCAATATCCAATCTCCTTCCTCAGTAAGGATCTCTCGTACTTAACAAGAACCATATCCACAACCCAAAATATTAGATCTCTTATTGTGTGGTTGAATTCTGTGAATTGACTGACAAGAGGACTACCCAGTCTTCTATTTATTAAATTAGATGTTCTCCTATCCATGTCTTAAGAGGCCTAGAGGTCTTCCCTATATACAGTTTGTTGTAAGGACAACTTGTGGTATAGATCACTCCCTTAGTATTGCAGTTGGTGAGTTTCTTCGGATTTATACCTTGCCATTCTGTGGATCATTAAATTCCGTCACTGTGGGAGGGGAAGAACCAGGTAGAATGCTTGGGATTTGTGATGGTACTCTGTCTTTAAATTCAATCTTTACTAACTTGAATTCAATCTTTACTAACCTGTACTGCCTCTCGAAACCCTTTTATACTTTCTAAGATGTGCCAATGCCTCTTTATGCATTTCTGCAGTTTGTTAGTGACATGATCATATGTCAGAACACAGTTAACATGATTTTTGGATTCTTTGTTTGTTTGTTTAGAATATTGCTGTGTCTGATATTATTTGGCTTAGTAAAACTATTATCTGTGACCTCATGTGGTTAGCCTCTGTCCCTTGATTTCTCAGTATTGGAGATTCCTGGTCAAAGTCCTCCCTCTTGATGTAGTTCCTTTTCATTCTTAAAAATTGACCATATGGGAGATTTTGACATAGAGATCTAGGATGAGAGCTATCAAAGGGAGTGGCCATGGGATTGCCATGGTCCCAGAAGTACCCAATTTAAGTATTTAGTCCTTTAAAATATGATGCATTGTAGAAATCACCTTTTTGAAGAGAATTTAATCAAATGGTTCAGATAAGCTCAGAGGGTTTATTAGAACAATTCTTTGAATGGCTTAGTACCCTGGATAGCAACATTAAATTTGACACTAATTATAAATATGACAAGATATATTTCTTAGACTGAAGATGTAAATAGTTTGCTTTAAAAAACCATCCCTGTAGAATCTTATTAATTATAAATATGACAAGATATATTTCTTAGACTGAAGATGTAAATAGTTTGCTTTAAAAAACCATCCCTGTAGAATTTTATTTGTTTTCAAGCTGCTCTTCAGTGTGATTTTCTGTGGTTGGAAAAGGAGATACCAATATTTAAATTGGTGGTGGTTTACTGCTATTGAGAGGCACGAGTTCATGGAAGATATTTTCAGGCATTCAAGGTAGGGTTAACCTGACATTCTAGCTAGTAAATTAATAAGGGAGGAAAAGGAGTCAGCTAGACCTACTGTATTTCTTCTTTTCCTCTCTACACAAAGATAGCGTTAGTCTGAAAAAGAAGGTCTCCATTACTTTGCTATGCATGGAAGCTTTCTATATGAAAGGGAACCCTGGAAAATCGGTGTTCCCTGTTGCCTGGAGAAGCTGTATGCGTATTGGATCCTGTCCTTTTTCAGACTAGTGGTAAGGAGTGCTTTGAAATAAAATTTCATAAATAAATACATTTTCATAAATAAATAAATTTTCTGGGTCTCATCACACATAGACTCCTCACTGAAATTTCCCTCTGCACCAGAGAGATTTTCCAGTTTCCCACAAAAATGAGACCCACAGTCTTGTCCGCCTCCCTTTTTCTGTTCTTTTGCACAAGGGAATAGCCAAATTCTGCACATCTCTTTGTTCTTTCCAGGGACTCGTATGCAGGGAAGGTGGCATTTTTGTAAAGGAATTGTATTTCTTCTTAAAAACAACTATGCAACATCTGAGAAATCCTATAAGACTTTTGGCTGGAAGATAGAGGCTCCACAATTTATATCCCCATTTCAGACTGCCTCTTCAAGCTGAGGGGACTAAGGTTTCTTTTCTTCACTTGTTCAAGTTTAACCTGATCCTCAATGTCTCAGGAGGACTTTTAGAGAGAGGGAGCCTATGTGACTTTCTATAAGATGTAATAAACGTATTATCTCGGCTATCTGTATATTTTCAGGTCCTTATGGATGTAGCCAAGAAGCTTGGAATCAAGTGCCACTCGAAAGGGACAGTGATCACAATTGAGGGGCCACGCTTTAGTTCTCGGGCTGAAAGCCTGATGTTTCGGAGCTGGGGAGCAGATGTCATCAATATGACTACAGTCCCCGAAGTGATTTTTGCAAAGGAGGCTGGAATCTGTTATGCCAGCATTGCTATGGCAACTGACTACGACTGCTGGAAAGAACATGAAGAAATGGTGAGTAGAAATCTTTGTTTATTTCTGCCCGATGGTGGTAACTTGGAGTACTGGTGTTTGAGCAATCCTTTCAACTATGTCTAGTCACTGTGCATGTGTATACATGGTTTTCAAAGAAATTAACTGCCCTTTGCCAAATAGATAAGTAGCTGAGTTTCAAATGGGAGAGGTATGTCAGTGAAGAGAGGTGTAACATCGAGGAGTGTCGTCTGTGTGAATCCCACATAGATATGTTAGTGGCAAACTCATTCCCAGCATGTGGAGCTATCATGTCCATTTATTAGAATTATTAGTGCTTCCCAATCTTGGGTCCCCAGATGTTCTGGGACCACAGCTGCCAGAAATACTGGTCAGCTAGTGGTGAAGGGTTCTAGGATTTTTAGTACAAAAACATCTGGGGATCCAAGGTTGGGAACCACTGCACTAGATGGTGGTAATGTCTAGGCTTGGAGGGATCCCAGGATGTGTAGGGAAAAAAAATCTTTAAGAGGAGTCAAAAAATTAGGGATGCAAGAACAGCCTGCTGGAACATGTTCAGTGGTGATAGAATAATACCAGTTTTGAAACTGTAACCAGCATCTGAAATGCTCAGGAGGATGAAATCGAATGTCTTTGGTGATACCTCAACAGACTGAAATCTTGAACAAGAGTATTTCACGCTGCAGCATTTTATTGTAGGTCATCCTTGTTAAAAGTGAATTTGGATAATTTACCAAAAAATGGCTTTCCTTTATAGCTGAAGTCAAATTGCCACCAAATAGTAGTAGTAGTAACAGTAGTTACAACAGCAACAATGGTGATGAAGATGATGTGCTTCAGTGAGAACATGACATTAGAAATCAGTCTCTCTTCTGTAGCTTCAATTTGGATTTAAAGGTTTATTTTTTGTCATACTTCATGTCTTAAAGCTCAATCACACTTAAGAAAAGAACTCCAGTTATACTGATTCCTTTCATATCTCATATATGTGTGTGCGTGTGTAGCCTCCTATAGCAGTTCAAATAGTAAATTCATTTCTTTCTATTTGAACCGCTATAGGAGGCTACACTGCCTTAATTTTGTATTCTTAATTTTGTATTAATTCATTTTCCCTACTGTTTCTTGGGACAATCAGCCCCGCCATCCTTTTTTTTTTTAAAATAACAAAAGTAATACATTGACATAACAGTAGAGAGGTCTCATTGTTGAAAGGAGGAAGCAGGTTTGGAAAGACTTGCAAAATATCATGAAGAGCAGAGTTTTTAAAAAAAGAGAGAGAAGAGGTTAATACAACACTCCTTTATAATTCAAAGAAGGAAATGTCTCTCTAGTCCTCTTTCACATGCAAGGGAGCGGGGAAGGCTGTGTCCTTCAAGCTGTCTTCTTCTGAGCAATGCATTCCTGTTGTTTTTTCCCCCTGGCACCTTTCTTTTCCCCCCTCAGTCCCAAGCAAGAAATGGCCCTTTCTTTTCTGCAAAGTTCTCTTTCTCCACCTGCAAGGGTGCTACTGAGCAATGTATTCAGGTTTGTGTGTGTGTGGCAACTGCTTCAATGTATCAGTGTGCCTTTAAAAAGAAAATCAAAACAGGAAGGGTACAAGCGCAGTGGCTATGAAGTGCAAAGGAAATAAATCAACAGCAGTGTTCACACATGTTGAAACGATAAGGAATGAAGCGGTTCATCATCAGTACAATTTAAAACCACCCGGGGGGGGGGGATAAACTGGAAATAAACTGCAGGCTGGGAAAAGTATTGGGGTCATGTGTCGTGTGACTGGAAATTTATGAAACAACCTTAAAAAATTGCCATATTGATATAACTGGGGTTCTTTTACTAGGTGTCATCGAACCCTTTATTACTTTACTTGTGGCCAGGAAATTTGCAGGATCAATTGTGAATAGCCAAAATGAATCGTATTGTAGAACTCTCTCCTTTATACATATCATGTCTTGCCCTGTTTACCAAATAACTTAATGAATTGGATGCTAAACCCTGAAAATTTACACTATTTATAAATACGTTTGGTTTCAGTTGTCACAGTATTTTTTTGGTTTTACTGCAGTTGACCTTGCTTTCCCTCTGCAGATATTCCTTTAAAATTTACACCACTGAATGAGAGCTGCCTAGGCCACTGGTTCTTAACCTTGGGTTACTGAGGAGTTTTGGACTGCAACTCCCAGAAGCCTTCACCACCAACTGTGCTGGCTGGGGTTTCTGGGAGTTGCAGTTTAAAAACATCCGAGTAACAAAGGTTAAGAACCACTGGCCTAGAAGACCCTAATTCAAATACCATTATTTTAACGAATTCCAGAGAGGCTTGTGAGGCAGTCTTTCAGATGTCATTGTCAGAAAAATTGGGAGAATATTACTAATTATCTATAGGGTTGCTTGAATTAATAGAGAGATAAGAGCACATGAGGTACTTCAAATGGCCGAAAGCACTCTGTCAATGCCTGCCCTTCTGCTGCGGGCCAGATAAGAAATATGTAGATGCTAGAATGTCATTCAGTCACTAGAAATAACGTTTGCTGATGTAGATTTATTAACTGACCAGATGTGAAAATCCAGGTTCCAAATTTAGTGTGTGTCTGAAGGCGTAGTGTGTGCAGATGGCCTTGGAGAAAATCATAGAAATTTAAAAATAAACTACAGTGACTCATGTAATGTAAACACTATTCTTCACATTGCAAGCAGCTGCTTAATATGATTATTCATCCTTCATTTTTCATAGCTTAGACAGAGGGGAAATCGAACCCGTTGTAAGAGATGAATGCTTTATTCAGAACACAAGTGACAACTGCCATTGATAAATATGAAATACTTTAAATGTGCTAGGCCAATAATTACAATGCTTCTATCAACAATTAAACTTTTTTTAAAAGCATCTCTTGAGGTTTAGCTCCAAAGAAAGGTAAATCCACTGTTACCATCAGTGGAATAGTGAACTTTATTTGTTTAAAATATTTTTACCCTGCCTTTCTCCTTAAAAAGTACCCAAGAATGGAGAATATAACTTCACTGGTAAAGTTAGCAAGAGATGCTAAAAGCAACAAAAAAAATCTCATTTTTATTAATGACTTGGATGAGGGGGTCTGCAAGTGCTTATCAAATTTGCTGATGACACAAAATTTGGTGGAATAGCTAATACTCTGGAAGACAGAAACAAAATTCAAAAAGATCTTGATAGGCTGAAAACAACAGAATGAAATTCAACAGGGATAAATGCAGAGTTCTACACCTGGGGGGGGGGGAACCAAATGCAAATGTTACCTGTCAGAGCATCTTTCCCCAAGGTCATCTACCTGCTCAATGTCCTCTCAGGCCATGTGTCTCCAAGTAGCCACTCCAAAGGAGGCCAAGAAATCATCCACCAATAAAAGCCTTCTTTGCTGTAGTGCCAATACTTTGGAACCAAGTTCTGGTAGAACTGTGCCTAGCTTCCTCCCTCCCCACATTTAAAAGGCACTTAAAAACACTGGAAAAGAGAAATTAAGGAAGGAGATTACAAAAATGTAGTGGCTGTAGACTTAAAGGAGTGTTCTGTTTGTGGCTTCTAATTAAAGGGATTCTTTCACACATTCATTTTAAGGTACAAATGGTTGGGTGTCCCTTGTGTTGCTGCTGTTATTATTACTGCTGCAGGACCTGCATCGGTCCAGATAGGCGGGGTATAAATCAAATAAATAAATAAATAAATGGTGGTTGCAGAATTTGCAAAAATAGCTAGAGGGATTCATGGAACCTGCAGGTCACCCACGGTACTATAGATGATGGCCCTAAAAGAGAAACCTGCAACTGTATATTACATATCTTGGAAGAGTCTATGTCTCTGCACAAACAGATATGTATACAGTGGTGCCCTGCTTGACGATTACCTCGTTAGATGAGGAAATCGCTTAATGACGCAATCGCAAAACAATGTTTTAAATGGGAAAAATCGCTTCACAATGATCGGTTTCCTGCTTCGCTTTACAACGATCAGAAAACAGCTGATCATCGGGTTTCAAAATGGCCGCCTGCTGTTTAAATGGCTCCCTGCTGTGCTTAGGATGTATTCCTCACATTACAGGCACCAGAAAATGGCTGCCCTATGGAGGATCTTCGCTGGACGCTGAGGTATTTCGCCCATTGGAACGCATTGAGCAGTTTTCAATGTGTTTCGATGGGCTTTTTCATTTCGCTTGACGAGGATTTCGCTTAACAGCAATTTGAACGGAACAGATTATCCTCGTCAAGTGAGGCACCACTGTATATAGAGAAATATCTATAGAGTGAAAGATGAAAGTATTGGTAAGATTGTTCTAATTAACAGTTTTAATTCTAAAATTGGAACCATTTTCCTTAAAATCGTGGAGTTTAATAGCCAGAAAGTTTAGGGGCAATTCATATTTGCAAAATTCTCAGCTATATATCCTGCATTTCTCAGAAACCAGTGATGTCAGAATAAGTCTGTTGTAACTGAGAGATGTTAATTTTGGCTCAAGTAATCATTTGAGGTGATTTGTTGTTGTTTAGCTTAGTCCAGATTGGGTGCTCATATTCATGAATTTTGGGTAAAGGGTGTAAGATGTAGATGCAAGACCTTCCACATATTTGTGAACACAGCTTACTCGCCACAGAACAGACCTGGGCCGGCCCACGGACAGTTTTGAACATCAAAACCATTTATAGCTTTTTGTCTAAAGTTGATCAGTGGCTTATCTTTAACAAACCGCAAAAACCTCTTTAGTATTTGTGAAGATTAACAAGTTTAAAATAAAAACAATCATAACATCACTGTTTCATTTTATTTTTAAGTAAAGTTGGTTTGGCCCTCGAACACAGTTCAGATTTTTCATGTGCCCCCCTATAGAAAGTAATTGCCCACCCCTGCCACAGAAGCTTAGATATTAATTCACCCACTAAGGATGATCAAATGAGGAACTCATGGACAAAAATCACACTCTCAGTGCTTCATTTAATGCCAAATGTACTCTTAAAGGAAAAACTAGGGAAGGCAGGCTTTTTTTAAAAAAATTGTCCCTGGGCATTATGGACGGGACCATGAGAGAATGGTCTCTCATTCCGTTAGAATGCTGTCTTTATTAGTTACATTTCTATCTTGCCTTTCCTCTAGTGAGCTAGAGGGAGTTAATATGGTTCTTCTTCTTTTCCCTGCTTAAACCTCACAACAGTCCTCCAAGGAAGGTAGAGCTGAGAAACACTAACTGGCCCAAGATTAGGCCAGAGAAATGCATGGCCCCTTGGAAGATCGACCTTTGACATCCCAAGGCTCAATCCAACATTCATATCTACAAGCTGTTAATTCTTTTCTAGATAATTAGAGGAGATGCATGTTGTGTTTTTGAACTTCAGCTCCCACAATTCCTTATGTACTTCCTGGGGAGTGCTGAGAGCTGTAGTCAAAAATTTCACATATGCTCTCACCTCGTAACAATTAGCAACAGAGGAGGAATAAGTGTTAGAAATTCTGCAGAGTCTGATGGTGGGTTGTTGCTCTGCTTTGTGTTTTTTTTGGAGTTTTGTTTTTTTCTTTGTATAAAAATTTAGATTTTCAACATAGGGAAATTAGGCTGCAACTCTGTATGCAATTGTTCCCACCTGTCCCTTTGTTGTTTCACCAAGTAAAGGGCACAACCTACATGTCGTGTTGCTGCCACCAGTTGATTACATCAACATTGTTTATTATTAATCACAGAGGTCCAGGTAATGTGTCATTTTAAAAAGAACCAAATAGAAGTTGTTTATTATTACAGGCAATGAAGGTACAATCAGTGTTGTTAACTCTTAACAAAACATCCTACTTCATCCACTCTCAACTGCCAACTCTCTCTCCACCCCAAACTCCCCAAACAACAATCCTCAAATCTAACTAACCCTCTCTCCTCCTCCTGCAGAGACTCTTATATCTTGTGACTCTACCTCTCCAGCACTCTCATTAGTCCATGCAGATAGTATATTCATGACCTGGGCGGACACCACAGCAATGTACCTATGAGAAAATCCAATTGCACTCAATAAGGATTACTTCTGAGTAGACCCAACAAGGATTATATAGTAGGTCCCCCTTATCCATGCGATCAGTATCTGCTGATTTACGTATCCGCTGTCTGAAAATATAAAAATATTAAAAGAAAAATCTCCAAAATATGTATTTTTAATGGTGAAGGTACCAGACAAAGCTACTAGAGGGAGCCAGAGACCATGATATGTATAGCGTCCTCTATAATCTGTGTTTTCCAGTATCGGGGGGGGGGGGGGCTTGGGGCGGGTCCCT